AGAATTTGAGAGAGATGAGTGCTGGACCTGATGGGGCTAAAATTTTAGGGCAATGTATTTGGGGCTCTTGCCTTTTGAAAATTGAAAGTAAAAAAAAAAATTAAAAAACTAGGTTTTTTTTTTAATAAAATCGGGTATCGGGTTCTCTTAAAATAAATACCCGATACCCGAACCAAAAATTCGGGTATCGCATAATAATTACCCGAAACCTACCCAAAAATTCGGGATCGGTTCGGTTAACTGTTTTTTTTTTAACACCCATACAAGAAAGCATGCAAGGGTCATCAAAAGCAAGGTTGTGGGAAAACTAAAGGCAGAAGCGATCATTGGTCTTCGTCCCTAGGCCCTGAAAGTGCGACCTTGATATCTCCAGGTTGGCGCCGACCACCTGGTCAGCTGCCAAGTCCTCCGGGACGTACTCCTCCAGTTGATCCTCTTCCAGGTGAGGCCCTAGACCTTCCTTCTCATCGTCAGCTCACACCATAGAGGCAAGGATCCTTTGATAATCATCCGAAAGGTTGGATTCTTTGGTCGAAGGGCATAAATGGACTAAATCGACCAATCAGCAACTTTCCTCTTAATCTCTAATTCTTGTTGCTTCATCTCTTCGGTTAATGAAGTGACCTACCCTTGGGATAATTCGAGGTTCGCCTCGAGTGCCTTCTTCTGTTTCTTGAAAGTTTCCCACAACCAAGCTCTCTCTTCCTTTGCTCGCAGCTCCAGCTCTTTCTCACCAGCCTTTTTGGTAAGCCTAGCCATTGTCCTTTGAAGCTGTTTAAGCTCCTCTCCCTTCTTCTCCAGCTCGATCTTTTGGAAGTCCACTGTGTGGAGAGCAGAGTTCCTCTCTGACATGTACTGGTTCGTCTGAATGACGTACAAGGTCAACTCTTCTTTTGTAGCTGCTAAGTCGCTCCTTAGCTGCTTGTTCTCTTCTTTCAGCTCGAAGAGTCCCTCGGTAGCTTCCAGTTGAACCTTTTGTTGGGCCAGGTGCATGGCAAGCAAAGATTGCATAGTGAAATAAGCAAGTGTTAGACTGTCTCCTTAAAAAGAGTAAAATACTGAAAAGTCTTTGACGAGGACAAACCGTTTTACCTGGCTTTGCATTTGAACCGCACTAATCATCAAGTCCGCAAGGTTAGAGGCCACGAGCTCTTCAAAGACTTTGGCAAGTTGGCACTCCAAAAGGGTGAACACCACCGACTGCAGGTGCTCCGAAAGCTGACCCATAGAGTCCAACACTGATATGTCAGCTCTTGAAGCAGAAGGCACCTCACCAGCCGGCCTTTTGCCTTCTCTCCTCCCGGAAGTCGCGGCCTCCCTTTGTCCCCTGCACGAAAAAACCATTGTAACCCCGGTTGAGCGCCTCGAGCTCCCTCCCGAGCAAAAAGCCTGATAAGGCTGCGACCTCCCAGGCTGCCCCCCAAGCGCTCCGTCTCGGACTTTGATTCCTCGAGCTACAACACTCTTCTTTTCTTGGACTTTTGGTCCATAGTCTTCTGCTTGGGCGTGCGACCACGGGCTAAGAAGTTTCTGCCGGTTGTTCGGTGGGTGGCTGCGCCCCCACTTGCGCTCCTTCGACAGGGGTGTCACTAAGGGCCGCCTTGGCTAGTTCCGTGGCACCAACTCAAGGGAAAACGAACCCCCTCTCTCTCAACGACCTTGGTACTTTGGGCGGCATAGTCGTTGTATGTAGGTATTGTTAGTAAAAGAGTTTGATGCATGCAAAAGCCAAAAATTTGAAAAGATTGTGGACACTTATGAAGTAAGGGCTCCAAAGTTGCTTCAGAATTGAAGAAGCCATACTTCATCAAATTGGCGGTTGTCACGAGCAGTTTCACGTTGAGACAGTGATATGGCAGGTTACCGAATGCAACTATTCGATTGAAGTCAGAGAAATCTATCAACCTGATCGACTTATTTCCTGTGAAGAGACAAGAAAAATCGTTATAAAGTAAATCCCAAAAAGAAAATAAAAAATTCGCTAAGTACAAAAAGGGAAGACCTACTCGGCTCCCTTAAATGGCAAATGCCATCGTAATGGAAAAAGAAAAACTTGGTCTTGTATGCCCCGACATTACTGGGGTAATTAAAAATGTCTCCCTCAATAGTGGATCGCTTCGAGTGGTAGTAAGAATCTTTGTCCTTGCTCTTTTTTAAATAGTACGAGCAAGCGAGCTCCAACGCAGTCAACTGGCCAAGGCCGTACTAGGCATACGCGATATACATAGTCACCGCTATCATATATGCGTTAGGTGTCAACTGTAAAGGTGTGACCCCGAAGTGATCGAAGATCGATCTAATAAAGGGATGGAAAGGAATTAGTGCTCTGCATTTGAATATAGCTTCAAAGATCGCAATCATTCCCTCTGGCGGATTCTGAGCTGTACGCGACCTGTACCGGTAGACGTCTACGCTAAGTGCGTATTGGTCTACTGCCTTTTGTACTTCATCTCGGGTAACCACTGATAGAATCTCTTGCGTAGGACCCACTGGGGTGTCCTACGCCTGCGAGCTCGTCCCCTCATTTGTTCTGGTCGCTGTAGGGTCCATCTCTTCTACGGTCTAAAAAAGGGGGACACGTATAGATTACTCAGTCTCCATACATAATTTTGTATGACGAGGTGGAAGAACAAAACCTTAATGTATCTTCCAAAAAATCCTAAAAAAACCCCTTGGGGACCACCCCCAATGGTTCGTACCCTGAAAACCTATTCCTTACAGAAGCCTAGCCATAAACACCCACCATTATCACCTAGTTAATTTGTCCTCTAAACAGAAAAAGGAAAGCAATGGAAGGATCTTCCTTACCTTTTTGGTTGTGGGGGTCGAACTTCTTACTATTAGCGAAAAGCGCGCACCAACTTAAAGGATTGAAAATCTGGTCTCGTGAGAGCTTTTTGCTTTTTCTGAAAGTATGAGTGTTGTGACATTGCTTAAGGCGAGCCTAGGGTTTTATAATGGAGGAAAACGACGATTGGTCTTCCCGAAGCCAAGCGACGTTTGGGCGGAATGTGTCTCTCGCCGTTGATTGCGACCACATGTCATCAATAAGCGAGAAAGAGTAACCGCGACACTTCGAGAAATTCAATCGTCGCGTCTCTCTGTTGAAATAATCGAGCGACGACTCGATTCTCTCCTCCACATTAAATGAAATCTCATCCGCATTTAATGCCCTGATAAGGAATGACGTTTCAGCATGGCTTGCATTTAATGCGTATGGCTGGCACTTATTGCGCACATGACTCATTTGTCAGAATAAAGGGTACTTCATTAATGGATTAGCTGTCAAGCGTAACGGATGACATCTGAAGAGGCCGTTGGACAAGAACACTCTTCGTCGCATGTTGGTTGCAAAGCGATGTGATTCCTTGCCTCTAGCAGAAATATGCCAAGTGTGATCAGGTCACGGACCTCGATTAAGATCAGAGGTACATCGATACGGTAGGGTCTAATCCAGGTCGAGCATCCAGGTCGGCTCGACCAGGCATCATTTGGATATGTCAAATCAGGGCATAATTATGAAGTTCTCAAGGTTCGATCCTTAAACCTTAAAAATTGGGGGACTTCTGTTATGCCGGAAAAAGTAGGGCTGACATGGAACCTCGTCAGTAAAGGATGGTCAAAGTTCACAAGGGTTCTACGCTGTCCAGGTACGGCCACGTCGCGCCTAGCGCAAGTAGCATGACGCATGTCAGTGTAGCAGGTGAGTGCCAGACCAGCAAGCGGCTGGAGATCGCCCACGTGTCAAAGTCCTGCTTTAAATTGAGGAAATCCTTCAGGAGGTGATCAATGGGATGCAAATAAAGGATTTGTACGGCATCTACTCACTTGCAGCTTTCATAATCATTACCTTGAACTTTCCTACTATAAATAGAGGACTTCCCTCTCATTTGTGGGGATTAGCAAATTTTACGCTGAAATAGCTCTCTCTCTCCCTAAACTGTAACTTAGCTCGCTGAACGCGACCTGATCACTCTCTCTTATTAATACAATAGCAGTGGACATAAGATTCGCTTGCGAGCATCCGAACCACTTTAAATATTGCTCTTTACCTTTTACTTGATTTAATCCCCTCATATCACGTGTGACTTTTAAGTCATTTTAGCATTTTACACGTGCGAATAGTTGATATTAAAATCCAGCATCAACAAGTCATTAGTTTGTGTGTACTTTGATTAATACCCTAAAACTATGCATACTTCAATTAATGGCCTAAAACTATCAACCAAATAAAGAGTTTCATTGATAACTCTATTAGTGCTTAGGAAGTGTCGATCTCAGTAACTCATGACAATCAAGTCAGAAGAATGTCATGTTACGGTATGAACAATGAAAACTCGTTGTATAAGGAACGGAGAAGAAGTGTGACTGTGTGTTTTTGTGTTTAGGGAAAGGGCAGTTAAAAAGAGGACCATTCTATTCCTATCCATATTATGTTTTGTTCACGTTAACATTCGCATTCACTTGTGTCTGGATCCTTCTTTTTGACACGTTTCTCTCACTCACCTCTTACCCTCTTATAAATACCCTTTCCCAATCTCTTTTATTTTTTCTCTTCCCTTTGATAAGGGGTTTTTGTTATTGAGAAACCAGCCCCCCAGCCTTTCTCAACAACAACAAACAAAACCCATTCCTATTTCTATTTCTAACTTCGATTCATTGAACAAGAGATCCAAAATAATACCACTCACCAACACAAACAATTGTTTTTTTTTTTTTCTTTTTTATACATAAGAGAAGAGGTATTGACACGCCAAGAGAAACCCAGACACTTCCATTTATACTATAATTTTCTTCTTCTCTTTCAATTAAGATTTTTCAAATTTTTATTTTTGTCAAAACTGTCTACGTTCTGTCATACTTATACAAAATTTTCAAAACCCATAATTTATCTTTCTATGTTTTAACTTAATTTGATGACAACTTTTCTTATTTATTTCTATTAATGGTGCTTTTTTTTTTTTTTTTTTTTTAATATGGGTTTAATTATTAGTTTTATTGTCAAACAATTATTTAGTTATATAAGCACTTTTTGGTTTTGAAGAATTGAAATTAGGGTTTTTAATCAGTGGAGAAATTTGTTGACATATTTTTTTTGCTTGATTTATCTAGGGTTTGGTGAGATCGTACTAGAATCAACCCTAATTGTGGTTTTTATACTATTCGGTTACAATCATAAGCAGAAGAATACACGGTGTATATAGAAACTGAGGATTGGATTGTATAGCTTTTATTTAGATTAGTTTAGGTAAGTTAAGTTATTGGGATTAAAGTCTTCTCATTGAATCTGCAGAGGGCATTTTCAGAACTGCGGTCTAGAGGCTGAACTTTAACCTGCAAAAAGAGATTTTGAGAATTGCTTTTGAACACCGACGGAGTGGAACCTTGACATAGATACTAGATGGTGATAAGGAAGTGAAGATTTCTTCATCAAAAGGTTAAGATTGTGGTGTATTTTGAATTTGTGCTCTTGAGTTTTTGATCTTCACAGTCTGGGAATTTTTCCTTATATTGGTTGGTTTTTGCTGATTAGCAGGTGATGTTATCCCTTTTGGCCTCGTAGTAATCACGGGAAGGATCAGATTTTATTGGAACTTCTGCATTTGTCGACAAATCATTACGGTTGAAACTTTGATTATTTGGCTTCATTGAAGTTAGTTCAGTGTTTACAATAGGAGAGTTGAGCATTCTAGCCTTGTGGGTACTCTTAGTTCCATGCAACTTTTTTGACATAATTTTGCAATTCTTAGGATTTGATTGTAAATAAGAAGATATTTTAATTATTGGGTATCAGGATTATTTTGTCTTGGAGGTGATTTTGGATGATCATGAAGTGATTTTCAAGCTGGAAATGATTGCGAGGACATGGTGCATGGACAGGGGCATAGTTTCTGGTCTGTTCCTGTGTTGGAACAAAGGTATAGAAAACTAGGAGAAACTTTTCAGTTGGTAGAAGGATTCAGCTTTGCTGTTTTAAGGATCACGTGCAATGTCTCGCTGCTTTCCATTCCCGCCTCCTGGATATGAAAAGAGTGCTAGAGTTGAAGATACAGACTTGCTAGCAAAGGTTTATATGCCATATTTTTATTTACCTTCCATTGTTAGCATGAGTCCTGCTCGTTTTCTTTGGATATTGCTTTCCTTATCTGGTGTATCTACTTTTTTTTTTTTTATTGGATCAAATTAATTTTGTATCATATAACTTCTGGAAGTTGGTCTTGGATATATAGTTCACAATCAAGGCTCATTTGACCCCAGATAAAAAAGGAAAAGAAAAGTGTAGATAAGTAAGTTTAGACATGGTTTTTGGAAACAATGAGCAACTCTTTTGCAAGCTAGAAGATGGTTTATTTGGGCCACGCATGAGGGATGGTCATAGTAAGGTTTAAAAATACTGAACATATTATATAGGGGACAATAATTTGGAAAATAATATAGGGGAAAGATTGCTTTTCGAAGCTAGAACATGGACTGACTTATAAGGCTATGTTAAGTTCTAAGGCACACTCCACTTACAATATATTTTTATTAGTAAATTCTTGATGAGCTTAATAAAATTTGGGCAATGTGATGAGATACTATTAGAAGTAGAAAGAAGTTGCCTACAATTTAACCATCTGACAGTCTTTTAGATTACAGGGGGCTGAATCTTTTATATCTCTAGCCGGGGATGGGCCATAGTATGCTATTTACTTGTAACTGTTTATACTAACATTTGCATATGCATGAAGTGCTTTCTCGGGCATGGACACGTTCTGGGATATGTGTTGTGTAGACACACCGTGTTTGCATGTCCATTGAAGGAAGAAAGAGAACGTGTCAAATCTCAATATGTTTTACTTTTGGTTGGCCGCTTCATATCACATGTACCCTTACATGGACCTTTAGGATTTTAGTGGAGTCGCTGTTTTATAAATTTGTCAGCTGAACAAAACTGCAGCCACATGGAGACTTGTATCTGTGTAAGATTGTAAAGTAGAACAACTGTTCCTACTGGGCATTGTTTTAGCTTCGGAAATTTTTAGAGAAGTAAGCAGAATGTTTAATGTGGCACAGTAGCCCTACTATAGAGTATTTAAAACAAATAAAATATGCATTCTGATTTGAATTAGATAAAGTTTTTAGTTTAATTTTTTAACCTATGCTCAGTGGGGTGCTTTTTTATTGTCTACTCTTCAATATTGTGCACAGCTCAACTGCTAACGGTTTCATAATGTTGTAACAATTAATGTTAGCTAGATCTTGAAATTACCCATTTATATATTTTCCTTATAAAATTTGTTACAAGGATACACTTTGATGATGATGTTATAACCCATTTATATATTTTCCTTACAAATTTTATTACAAGGATAGACTTTGATAATGATGTTATAATAAATGCGGCCATGGTTGTCAAATAATACTTTGCTTTCCATATATTTTCAGATGTTTTTGGTGCTGAAAATTGAAATGCTTGGTTTGTCTTAAACTGGTAGTAACTTTATGTTGACACCTCTTCCTTTTACAGAAGCTGCCTTTTGGATTAATATGTGATGACTTAAAGGTGAAAGGCTCCTTTAATTGCTGGGGCTGTGTATTGCTTGATGTGTTTGTTGAATAGGGATGGGGGGGCTTTTTATGTGACCATTTTAAATGGATGTGAAGTTTGGTTATAAAGTATGAATATCTTCTTGGGCATAAGATTGACAAGGTTTTCTTTTATGGTATAATCTGGTATGCCTGGTATTGAACGTGCTGAAAATGTAGAATATGATGTATTGAAATTGTTTACTTGTTCTAGTGTTCTAGATTAGAAGTGGTTCACATCTTGTACTTTGGGCAAACCCTGTTTGGTAGGTAAAAAATTGCCAAAAATGGATAATATTTTACTCCTAATATCTTGTACTATCTATGGTTTAGTGTTTGAAGAAAAGGGAGTTTGAGGAAATTGAGGATACAATAATTATTAAGGTAATGAAACTAGATTGAGAAATTTATTATTTCTAATATAGCATCACCATCTTTATGTGAACTAATGTATCCTTCTGGTAAGCATTGTTGAATCTAGCATAAATAATTTTTCACCATCCTCTACTTGTAACTACTTGAACTTTTCACTGTTTATGCTAGTATTTTTTATAGTATACTAGCATAGAAACTCAAGCTTAAATGGAATTGGATCAGGAATATTTGATCTTTCTTATCTGCAGAGACTTCTTCTCTCTCTTCCTATTTTACTTTTTGCACATTAGTGGCATTTTGGTTCCTTTACCTGTAGTTTTTAATTTTAAATAAAGTACATATTTTAAGAGATTCAATTTTTAAAGGAAGAATATTAGTGGAAATTTGAAAGTGTATTTTGAATACTTCAAATGCTTTGTCTTATGCCTCATTCTAGTTTATTTTAAATGCTGAGTCGTATGCTTCATTTTACTGTGTTCTGAAATCTTTTTCTCGTTTTGGCAATCAAAATTTTTCATATTAAAGAAAGTTATTCCAAAATCTAGCGCCATGTGTCTTACTATCTGTTAAAGCAAACTATTGATCTCTATCATGGTGTTGCCATGCTTGTTGACTGTTGACCTGCCCTGATTGAGCAATCATTTCTAACTTTAACTCGTATCTACTCTGGAAATCCAAATTCTACTCTTGCTTTGGTTCTGTAGTAGTTATATATGCTTTCTGCTGATTTTATGTTGTGAACATGCTTTCAAAATTACATCTTCAGAGAATAGTAAACATCTTCGTGGAGTAATCACATTTCCATGTCTTTCTAGTTTATGAAGTAAGAATAATTGTTGTATAGTATCTTAAGAGATTTGAACAGATGATAGCCGTATCTTTGGTATGCCTTGGTGTTGTCATAGAGCTTTATCTAGTTCCACTGGTAGGAATAAAATATTGCATCTGTTAATTCACGGATTCTAATGCAAATGGCATCCAAATGCCAAAATACAAGTGATCTCAACCTGCAAAAAGATAGAAGTGATGGGTTTTTTGATTGACATGTTTTGTGTAGCAATGTTCCTGAACTTCTTGTGGACTTTCAGGGAGGGTAGGAGGTTTCTAGTGGTCTCTAAGAACTGGGGATATGGCTTAAGACCTATGATAGTGAAGTGTTACCATTTTGGAAGTGCCCATATTAATTGATTAATTATGCTGTAAAAAATGTCATATGTTAATATCAACTATCAAGTACTGAGAAATATGCTGTTAAAGTAACTTTTATACATGAGCCACATTACCTGCTTTTAAAATATGAGAACACGAGATTTTTTCCTTCTTGGTTTCATGCATTAGCATCTTGTATCACAAAAATGGTGTTTTCCTTGCATGATTTATAAATGCACTTTCTTCACTTATCCTTCTTCACAATGTTAACATGTCAGCCATTAGCACTGAACTGCAATCTAGATTTATATACAGGAAGGAAATTCCCATAGGTTGTATTTTCCCATGCAACCTATTTTTTCTTAACGAAACTCTTAAAAGTATTCCTTGTAATCTTAAACTTCTGGATTTGGTGGTAATTTAAAACAAAGAAGAGGTCTTATGTTCAAATCCTCCACATGTAAGGATCTGCATATGTATCCATATATGTATTAGCATTCCTTTTCTGCAATTTTTTTTTTTTTTTTTTTTTTTCCACATTATATGTGATGAGATAGTTAGCGCATTTTGTTTTTGAGATTGGCAGATAATTTAGGTTGGTGCCTTCTTTATGTGGAATTGTTATATATTTATATGTATAGTTCCTTCTGGAAGATCGAATTATGAAAATTAACTTTTGGTGCTAGCTGACGTGATTTTTCTTGATGTTGATTAATACACTCCTGCATCCTCACTGTTAAGAATCCTTTACATGTGGAATGAATCAAAAGTATATGTTTCAATGTTGTAAAATTATGATGATTATGTTCTTTATTTGAAGTATTTGTCTACTCGTTAAAGAGGAGGAAAGATTTTATATTTGACATATTTTTATGATAAAAAACATATGAATTAAAGACTTAACAGGGACAATTCATCAGCTTGGTAATAATTTTATTCGTGCATCAGTTTTTGCATCCAATCTGGAAAGTTGCCCCTTGCTGTTTGGATACCTCTTTACCTTACCATGTTTAGCTGTTCATCATTTCCCCATCTACTTCTAGTAAAATATTATTCTTTACTCTTATTTTAATTTGTCTCTAATTGAAATATTATATTCAGGAAAAACACCAGGAGAAAAAACATAAAAAGGATAAGAAGGACAAGGAAAAGCAAGGAGGTAAAGAAAAAAAGAACAAAGATAAAGAGAGAAGTAAAGAAAAACACAGCGATAAGAAAGACCGAAAGGAGAAGCACAAAGACAAGAAGGACAGGGATAAGGATAAAGACAAGAACCGGATCTCAGATGCAAAGAGAATTGAAGGGCAACCAGAGTGCTACAATGGAGGGAAGATTGGTCCGAACAGCCTCCAGAATAACGGGATCAAGGATACTAAATATGTGCAGGATTTGGCAAAGAGAATTAGGAATGAAGATAAAGCAACAGGAAGCCAAATTGTTCAGAAGATTACTGTTACAGATCAAAGAAGAGCAGAACTGCCAAGAAGGATTCTGGAGTGCAGTACTGACATATTGGAAGAGAAAGAGAAAGCAAAGGATAAGAAAGAAGTTGATAAAAAAATCAATGGGCAAAAGAACCATGTTGAGGCTAGAGGTTTCGGAAATTCAATTGCTCAAGGATTCTCTGGTACTGATCAAAAGAGATTTCAAGGAATCACTAAACCAGTGGAGAAGAATGATATTGAGAAGCAGTTGGAGGAGAGAGAGAAGAATATGCGCAAAGAAAGTGATAGTAAGGGTGATAAACAGAAGGATAGAGATCGAAAGAAGAAAAGCAGATCAAAAGACAAAAGCAGAGATAAGGAAAAGAAAAAGGAGGAGAAAGCGAAGGAGATAGTTGAGCCAAGTAAAGACCGGCTTAAATTAAAAGACAGCCCAAAATTGAAAGACAATGGCAAGGGCCTCCCGAGTTCATGCAATATTAGACCACCAGATGTTTCAAAGACTAGCAACAACAATCCTCCCGGTGAGGGAAGTCTTGGCAAACGTAAGGAGCTTGAGATAAATGGAATTTCACATGGTGAGTCCTTTCTGTTGCATTTCGGTTCTTCGATGGTCTAGTGCTTAAACCTCCTATGCCATGGGGATATCAGTGGTATGTTTTAATATTGAAAAACCTGTTCAAGGTGAAAACTTTCTTGTATCACTTTCACTTTCATTGCTTTGGCCTATTTATTTAGAACCTTGTCGCAAAATTTTGGGATGAAATCTTTGGTTTACGTGTCTAGTTTTGCATCAGTTCATTTTTATTTTGTACCTTATTCTTTAAACTTTGTGACAGACAACGGAATTAGGCCTAATAAGTTGCCGAGACCTGTCTCGTCCTCTCACCTGGTCACAGAAAATGGGAGGAAAATGGAACCGTGCCAAACTGCTATCCACTTTGCATCTGAGTTTCAGGGGGCAGTTGGTAATCATAAAGTGAATGCCAAGGAACACAAGATTAATGGTTTAAGGAACGTTTCACAGCCAATTGTGTGCTCAACTAAGCCTTTGTCAACTATTGATCAAGGTAGTGAGCATTGTGAAGCATCTGCCAAACCACCACACCCTGATTCCAAGTACCTGAATCAGATTCTTTCTAGTGTGGCCAAAGGTGTGCCCAAACTGGAGGATTGGCCTGATTTTGATGACGATGAATGGCTGTTTTGCAGCGATAGTGTGCAGTCAAAGCAGGCAAAAGTGGCTTCTCCCAGGGGTGATGGGACACAACAAGTGTGGGCAGAAGTTCTGCCCATAGAGTCTGCTGGTGTAACAGCTCTGCCATATGTCGTCCCCTTCTAATGGATAACATTACTTCCCCTTCTATCATCGCCGATTTGGCTGTTACCCTGAAGTCTAAGCAGACCTTTCACAAAGGTATATGCCAGGGTCCTGAGGTTATTGGTTTATTACTGCATTTACTTTTGATTGCAGTAGTTAAATCTCAGTTGCAGTCATGCTGTTGGTGTTTAAAATGCTTGTCCTGGAAGTGAGATGATGGAATCAGAATGTGACATACAGTTGTTATTTTTGGTGCATCTTTCAGGACTTTGTAAGTGGAGTTTTCATCCTTTCCGGACTGTTAAAAGAGGGCTTTTTAGTCGTTTGTACATGTGAGAACCCTGTTTAGATTGGAAGAACATCCCCAAATGAATTTGGAGAAAGGGATGTGCTAATTGAGGATTCGGAGATGGTTAGGGGTCATTTTTTGTTAGCTTAGAGCTTTAAGTTAAGACAGAAATTCTATACAAAAGAGAATCATAGGATTTTGTGGCCCTTGTTGCGCGCACAGTTTTGATTTGTATAATGTAAAGATGATATGCATAAAATTTATATTAGAGGGCGAGAAAGGAAGGAGGCATTATTATTCATTCAATCCTGAATTTCTTCTGTAGACATCCTGGAAATCCTTGTTTTTGAAGGATAAGCAGGGCTTTCAGATCACATTGTATTGTTGAAGCGTTATAGATTAATTGGACTTGCTGTTATTGGTAAATTAATCCTTGTCATTCTTATAGAAAAATAAGTGAGTGCTATCAAAGACAATCTCACGGATGTTAAAATGGTTGAAATCAAATCAAGTTTTTGAGGATTGGTTTATACTGATAACTTTCAAATTAATAAATTAATAACATTACACAATCAATTCCAAGGTTAAACATTGGTAAGGGCACAATGTGGCAAATAGGATCGGTCAACGGAAGAAAAAATTTAAAGGGTGATGAAATAGAAAGACACTTGTCACGAAGTTATGTACGCGTAGCCAAAAAGTAGTTATGATCAATCTTCTTCTGTTCTTCAGACTCTTAGCTCAGAAGAAAACCTAAGACAAGCAAGGCATAGGCATGGGTGGCGACACAATCACAATCACTCCTGGTACACTTACACCTTCTCCTTCTCTATCTCTTCGTTTTGAATAAATTGGTGATGTTATTTTTTACTATTCAGAAGAATCTCACGATTCCCCTCAACTGTCACGATCTCCAACCCCTTCTTTGCTCGGGTATGTAAATGTATTTCATTTTATTACTCAATTGATGGCCCCTCGTTTCCACCCAAGTATTGAACGTCATTTCATTTTAAGCATGAAGTTTTGTAAAGGAACACTGGTGAATGATGAGGATGGAGCGGTGTTTAGAGAAATCCCCCAAGAAACTGGTCAGCTATCTCCAGCTTCCTTGGACTTTGAAGCGGACCAGAGGAGGAGACGTTGCACACAAGTCTTGCTCAGTTATGATGAGTTGCGTACTCGTCTTGGGAGTTTGAGAGAGGCTAGGAACAAAATTTTGAGGTATTTACTAATATTCATTTCTCCACATGGGCACTGGTTCTGCGAAACATGCATCGCACTCTCTGTGTTGCATTAAAAAGCACATGTTTTTATATGTTTGGACTTGATATACCTTCTCAGGTACACGTGTTAAGGGACCTTTTATTGATGATTGCTTAATTTTTTTAATTATTTTTTTTTTCTTACATATAATACTGATCTCTACTGGTCTGAATAGCATCGCTGGGCTCTCAATTTGATAAGAAATGAAAACATAGTTCTGCTGCCATTTTTATCATGATAGCTTCAAGAGCCTTAAGTAAAATACATTTCTTCAGTCTAACAACGTCACAGAGGCTCTGCAACTTGGAATTGTTTACGCTGTGTAACTAAATTAAAACCATCTATGTTACACAAGGGATATATCTTAGTAATTCTGTTTGCTTTGAGGCCTTCTGTGAAAGGTAATGTTGTTAATGAAACGAATATCAAGGAAAGCAGCTATGTTTTTGTAATTTTTTACATATCAAAGATTCTTGGTGAGAAACTAAACTAAAAACCATATGTTCTAATGGATCCTTATAAAACATCCTCCTATTTTGGTAGCATGTAATCCATTTTTATAGGCTTCACTAACACTGCATCTTGACTTATGCATTGAATTTGCCTTGAATTAGCATGTGAATTGCATGATCTCACAACAGGATTCCCGAGGGTCTGTGTGTCACTGTGTTGGTCTCTATAGGTCCAATAATCTCATGGAAGTATATATGGGTTTTAAGAATTTTATGACATCACTTTTATCGAATAGGACACCTTTTTTTTTTTTTTTTTTAATTTTCTTAAAGCAGTGATTTTTGAAATTGTTCTGATGCTGAAACTGTTGTACAAACATGTCTAAAAATTTCTTTATATACTTGCTTGATTTGATGTGTACTTTGATATTCACAGCTATACCCCTGGAGCATGGATTGAGAATGCCAGGGGAAAAAAATTGAGTGATTATGATGTGCCAAAGACAATATCATTCATTTTAATTGGTCCTAAAGGTTCTGGAAAGAGCAGTCTGGTTAATAGAATTTCAAAGGTGTTTGAAGATGACAAGTTTGCATCAGAAAGAGCCCAAGTAACATGTATGTATATGTCACTTAACTGCAACCCAAATTTTGGATGACGTGGTAGTGAATTAGTTGTAGTCATTTTTCTTTACTGAACTGTTTTCCTGTTTTGTCTTCCAATACAAGATAATCCATCTGTTGGAGATGGAACCTACTTCCTTCAGGAATATATGATACCAAGAGATTCAAATTCTTTCTGTCTTTACGATACCCACAGTTTGTCTGATGACTCATCTGATAATATTAATATGATAAAGCATTGGATTACCAGAGGAGTTCGTCACGGGGAACTTGTTATCAGGTGTGAATTGCTTTTAAAAATTTCTTTCTGCTCCCTTTTTATTTGGGGAGGGGGCTGGGTTGTTGATCAACAATCTACCTCTTTTGAATGACTTCACTTCTGTGACGTTTTTCAGGAAATCTGATAGTTCAAATTTAAGGAACAGAATGAAGTGCAAAGCTCGGGACAATGGTTGTCAACCCGGTGAGGTCAGGATGGTTAATTTTTGCATATTTGTTGTTGATGGACTTGCAGTTCTGAAATCCATGGAAGGTTGTGGTGTTGCCGAGAAGCAGTATAACCAGATAATTAAAACAGTTTTCAACTGTCCGTTTTTGTCATTTAAAGGTATTTGTTTCTTGATCTTTATTTATTATTTTGTTGGTGGAGTTCGTGTGACTAATTTAATCACAGAGCTTTTGCAAGTGAATTATATAATCCTTATGTTAAATGTTTCATCCATTTATCTTCTCCTCCTTATGTTCCTCTATTTGTTCTTCTTTTATTACTTCTTATCAGTGAGCAATACCTTTTTATGGTGATAAAACCTGTTTCTTTGTTCCAGATGATAAACCTGTTGTTATAGTGACACACGGTGATTTACTTCCACTCACTGATCGTGCTCGAATCCGCATTTATCTGGGGGAGCTGCTGGGTGTACCACCTGTGAAACAAATTTTTGACATTCCAGGTGATCTGATCAAGTTGTTTGATCCTTATCATTGTTATTTTATTCTGTCTCATTCGCATTTTTGGCCAGGCTTTTGCACGATTGATAATTGAGAGTAACTAACCATCAGTTCCTAGCTTCTTGTGCTTGCAGAAAATGATGATCCAGAAAATGAGTTGGTAATAGTTGATATGTTGCGCTACTGCCTTGAACATGCTGATAGAAATCTTCTCCATAAAAACTCTCCCAGGAACAAGGTTCGGTTTTTCTTGCAAGATTTACTGGCTTAATTCTTATAATCCCTTTCTTTATCTTTGTACTTTCGTTGTCTTTTGATCATATATATTCATGTAAGTGAATAATAGAAACTTCTATTTTGCTTGTGAGTGGTGAACTTTATTTATGTATATCTCCAAAGATGCCATCAGAAACTTCTATTGTCTCTAGAAGTTATAATAAATTTAGGCCTTATTTAGGAAGCATATGGAACTTAAATGCGTAAGAAATGAATTTCATGCATTTTTTTCTAAAGCTTTCCTTATAAAAAAGAATGACTTCCTTTCTTTGGAATCTTATGTACTGTTATGGTTATGCATCCTTTCCCTTAACACTCCACATCCCACATCCCACACCCAAAATAAATAAATGCTTTTCTTGTTTGTGCCCTTGATTTATATTATCAACAGTGCTTAACGAGAATTTAGTTGCATTTGCTTGTGGAAATTTTCTTCTAGTGACTGTTAATGCTTGATAAATTATTATTATTATTATTATTTCTTTTTGTGATCACAATTCACAATGATGTCGCACTAATGACACCTAGTTCAACCTGCATTTGTGGTTTCAGTAATTCTGCGTGATGGACATTTGGATTTTATCTGATAGTTTCTGTTTATTCAAAAGTGCGCTGACTAGGATCTTCTTGTATGCAGGTTTTTCATCTCTCTATTTTGGCATGTATACAAGTGTTAATAATAGTAGTGGGGATTGCTATTTTATCATTCAAGATACATCATGTGCCTATTCATCGTGCCCCTAAATCAAACCCTCACGTGGATTGGCATGCCATCAGGCATCTGTGGTTAGGCTAGGATTAATAACTTATGTGTCTGGTATCTACTGCTTCATCTCAAAAAATCTGAATGAACCTGTGAGTGCGTACCGTTTTATTTGCACAACTGGATGTAGCCTGTATGAATTCTGAACTATCTTTTTCTTAATGCATATATTATATATATGATCTTTCTGCCATTCTCTACACTTTGCAAAAAGGTTTTTAGTATCAAGTCATGTGGACATTGTATCATCTTTAAGTGGAAAGTAGAGAAATTTTGAAATGTCAATTTGTTGGCATCTCATGGCAACATGCATTCTGTTGTAGAACGGTCACGGATATCCAGTCGTTTACTTAGGGAAGAAAAGGTACCTCGTTTCCGATATTTGGACATATAATTGGAAAGAAAATAAGACGTCACGTTAGAGTTTCTTTGAAATAAAAAAAAAAAAAAAAATTGATAATAATCGCATAACAGAATCACAAATCTAAACATTTTTTTTTTTCATTTCCATGTGATGAACTGAAGTAAATATTTGGAGTATTTTCCAACATTGGGAACATATTTGGAAAAAGAAAAATGGTGTACCGGAAGAAAAAATCATGGAAAAAGGGTTTATGCTACAGTAAAATAGGAAGAACTTGAACCTAAAAATAAGAGATTAAGGAATTTGAATCCATTATTATGATGCCACTTCTGGTTAACACAAAACTCCCGCGCCAACCTCAGCAAGAACAAGAATGACTTGAGTCAACCATGACAGGTCTATCACAACTTATCCCCTGCCATGCGCAAGTATCCATCAAGAATGGCAAAGAAATGGCTTTATCTATTTGTTTCTATAACAACATCCACGGGTGGTTACAATTATCAACCTCCCAATGTAGTCTTTGGAATACTCTGCAAAAACATTGCCTTGGCAGCAGGGTCAGTTGAAAATCGACCCAGCACAGCAATAGTAGCTGTACTACTTCCAAATTTCTCAATCCCTCTGGAGATCATACAGGTGTGGCTAGCCTCTACAACTACCATCACATCCCCCCCTAAGAGTGATGAAACAGTCTCAGCAATCTGCCTAGTGAGTCTTTCTTGTACTTGGAGCTTGAAACCATAAAAATGTACTATTGACTGTAAAAGGGATTTTCCAATTGGATTTAGTCCTTCGGTGCAGAAGAATCCAATATGTACAACACCATGAAAAGGAAGTAAATGATGCTCACACTGAGAACAAAATGGTAAGCTAAGCTCAGAATGTATTTGTTCCTTATTGCAGCTGAGTTCTCCATTGGGTTTAAGAATATCCATTCTACCACAAGCAAAGCCGTTCAACTTCATCTCCAGATTTGTGTTCTGAAAGTTCATCAACCACTTCACAAAACGAGTAGGAGTTCCCAGAAGTTCTTGCCTTGATGGATCTTCCCCCAGAGATCTAAGAATTGAAGTAACTGCAGCAACCATTCCTTGGTTGACTGGTTCTAGCTTAGAAGAAATTTTAGCAGTTAAGGGAGATTGGGATGGACACCAACATCTTTCAGTATAGTCTTTAATACGAGTTTTATCCACATTTACACCTCTGAATCTCAGAAGACTCAAAAAATCACTCCAAACATCAGCATCTTGATCTTCAAAAACCCCTGAACCTGAACACACCCGTGCCTTTACCCAACCTTGGTGATTAGGGTCAAGAAAGGCTGACTCCAGATTTGGGAAATGGAGGTGTAAGCATTGCAGTACGACAGCAACACCAGCTGGCTTGATTCCATGGTGCAAAGCTGAACACACTTCATCTGCAAGACGCTGTGGGTCTTGGAGCCGTTTTCCAAAGATATCAGCTACTCTGGAAAGCTTGCTTAATCCCAGAACCCGTTGACCAGAGGGCACATAGCCAACATGACACTTAACTTGGAATGGAAGCAAACAAGATTCACAGTAAGAGAAAAGGTCAAGATCTCGAACAATCACAAGCCCACCCACTCCTCCTGCATGACCAATTCCATTATCTAAACCTACTTCAGGGAACAAAGCACCTTGAACAATGTCTTTCACTTTTTGTCTGTAACCTGAAAAAAGTAACAAATGCCTTGATCAACAATTAGAAGCCAAACCAAAAATTCCAAATTAATTAATATACATACACATCTTGGCACGGTGCATTTAAGGCTGAATAACTATAGAATTGAGAAAAGAAAGGCCTCTTACTCAATTAAAGATGAATAATTATCTGTTTATACCAAATGATTTAATTAATTCAATTTGCCCCCCTGTATGATGTTTGAATGTTGCAACATTCCCACAACACAACAAATCTTCTGCACCTTATATCTTCTCTTGATAAAAGAGAAATATGGGGTAGGTATGGGCCACGTTAACAATCTCTCTTACACCTACCAGAACTAGGTATGGGCCATGGAGCCATTATAGAAATTAATGCTGAAAAGCAAGACATGTTGCAAAAAGACAAGAACTTATACCAATTGATATTATAACGAACAACTACTATACCAATCGTCATTGGGGAGTCAAAATGTCTAGAAAAAGCAAAATGCCAGACAAATCAGCTACTGAATCAGTCACCAAATTCTTAGTGCAATAACCTAGGGGAATTCACCAGTAAATATAATAACTAACAGATATATTGTGTGCATACAGCTGTGTAATAAGCCACCCCATGCTTCCTAGGCATTAATCAACATACATCTCACTATTATCAACTAGTTACAGAAGCATCAAAAAAGAGAAAACATAAGAGATTCATAACTAATATCCTTCCTATTATTGAACCTAGGTATAACTTGTGTAAACTACATTTCTAGACCCCCTCCACTATTTCACAAGTTTAATAATCCTAATTCTTCACTAACAATCAACAAAATGATACAATAAATTGATCGCACACTGGTTTCTCCATTATATAGCTCAACTACATCCGGCAGCTGGGGGTTGGTTGTCTGGGGAAAGGAAAAAGTAAAACTCTTTCATACTCTCTGATGTTCTCTCTATCCATGAGGGCTCTTTGGAAAGTATTCTGCTTTATTTGGCCGAACAAGAACAGGGTATATGTGAATGAAGCATGTCCTAGAATGACAATCCTAGTGACCATGCCATATAGAGAGAAGACTGCAAAGCAATTAGGGTGGCCTTGTAATATAGAAACAGTAAGAAATCATAGTAAATTTGCAGCATAAAGAGAGTAAGCAATTATGAAACAAAAAGCAAAAATATTGAAAAAGCTACTAATAGTACAGGTGGAGTTCATTGAAGAAAAAGTCACACAGGGCAATCCCGCAATTTTAGTAAAAATAAATCTGCTCAGCTGTCCACCAAACAGCCTGAAAAGGACCAAGAACTAAAGTAAAGGATGTAGTGATGAAATTATAGAAAACAACTTCGTTCATGCAGCTATCTGTTGAAATATAAAGGAAAAGCATGAAATAGCCATAACCATCTAAAATTTAAAAGATTTCCCATATGTAATACAATATGCAGAAAGTTCAAATTATCGATACTTCACATTAGACGTTGACATGCTATGTTTAAAAAATAGCTTCATACCGACTAAGGTTCAATGAAAAACAATCACTAGCATACAAATTTATTGTTTCCAGTAAAATCACCAGAATAAAGTGAATAATAAGAATGGGCACCTCTTGTTCCTTCATGAAGAGCCTTGGCGACGCGAAGAGGGGTCTTTTTGAGACCTTCTCTATTGACATCTTCACCTAAGCCCTGCAAGAGAACTTTGACAGCATCTTCAATAGCAAGAGTATCAGGTTCTTGCTCAAAACCAAGCTCAAGGCCACTCAGTTTCACTCCATTCTGAAGCTCCACGTGGAAATGCCCCTCATCCAAAGCGCCCATTGACAGACTCAACAAATCCCAGAAACACCACCCACCCAAATCACAAATTAAACCAAGCCAATGAAAGAACAACCAAAGCTTTGCAATTAATCAGAGACAAGACTTAAAAATACAACACAGCCTGTGTATGAAATCTTTCAATCGACCAACAATCAACAACAAACGAAACAATACGAATATTGAAAATCCCAAGGAGCCAGATATAAAACAAATGCAAACGAAAAATGAATGAAGGAGAAAATAAAAAACTTGAGCTAACAAGAGGATAGAAAATAGAAAAATACACTCATGAATCGAAATCAAACACTATTAGGCCCAGAGGAGCTGAAATGATGGTAGTGAGAGACGAAAAGCGAGAAATATAAAGAAAGAGAGGGTATAAACTATAAAGATGATAATAAGAAAATAAGAAATCGTAGGGTTGGCGTTAATTATCGGAATGTGTGGATACTGGATCTTGCAAAGTATATATATTAGGTTTCATAGTATCAAAGATTAAATATAAAATAGAATAATAATAGTTTTGGTCATCGTAAAGCGGGACCCATCTCCACATGAGGTAGGTGCTGCTTTTGTACGGGACCGCCAGATCTGTGTCCCTACATACATCTGCCTTTACTAATCCTCTCTTTTCTATTTATCTCTAGTTAATCGTTATCTTTTCTCCATTAAAATGGAACCAAAACAGCAAAACTAACGGAAAATGGGTTAGGGAAGAGATTACTACATGTTACCAACCCACTACTGCAAATATGAAATATGTACCCGCGTCTTCCGGATCTAAATCTAGTTTTGTACTTTCACACACTTTTGGCTATTGTTTAAGATTTCCACCTTCCTATCACCAACTCTCCCCCATCCAGTTTAGATATTTTTATTTGGGAATAAAATAGGAAAAGCTAAATCAAAGTTGTAAAAGAATTTGACTGGCATTAGGTGGGAACTTCCAACCAACAAGATTTTTAATTTCAAATATGTCAGAGCATAAGTAAAGATTCTGATCCCACCAGCATGGAATCAACACTTGAGTTGGTGATGGTTGAGTATTGATTAAGTTGTCAATGGATTAAATTAATGTAAGTCATTGGTCAATTCAGGATTCACCAAACTTCTAGTTGATGGGGTTAGGTGAGCTTACACACTTTACACTTATGGAAGCTCCTACTCGAAATTGCAACTTGATTTTGTCTAAATAACCCATTAATGAAGAACAATGATTTACAGGATAGCAAGCTCATCGTCATGGGCCATGGCTGCTAGTTGAGTTTCATTGTTGACAACAGTAATTTTGGTTTTACATATTTTAAAATAAAGAAGGATAACAACTGCATGGGACATAACATAATCTACAGCTGTGGATGGAGCTCATGGAAACCAAGTCATGGTTCGGGCCAATTGAAGTCACCCAACTCTATCTGGAGAAAGATGAATCAGTGGTGTATTTGTAGCCCTATTAATTATCTTTCTAAGTCTAAAAAATTATTAAAATCATTTTAAAAGTATTATTTACGAATATATTTCATTTTATTTCAGGGCTGTTCCTTTTTTTTTTTTTCCTAAATTAAACTTCTTTATTAACCCCACCATCTATTTTCTTTTTCGCATTAAATTTTATGAGCTATTTTCTCTCCCCTGTTAAATTTGATTCACCATTTTTCATCTCAAATTAACTCTAAATTCAATCTCCATTTTTTTTTTTAATCTCAAGTTAACTCTCAATACATTCATATAACAACATATTTCCTCTTTAAAAACTATGCACCATTTTCTTCATTATAAAACCATACTATTAGTAATTATAGTTTTGAAAAATATATAAAACTGTTATTAGGGCTTAGAAAGAGATTGAACGAGATTTAAATAACAACACCCAAGATGATTTTGCACTCGGAAAGCCCAAAGCCCAAGGAAATTGCAAGCAATCGTTATAAAACCTACTAGCAAACAAAACTAGTGCGCCATGGAACCTTCACACAGATGCAGAGCATGGACATCGAGCTCACTTCCCCACCACCACCACCACCACCACCACCATCATCATCATCATCATTTTCATCATCGCCACTGCCATCACCGTCACCATAACTATCACCATCACCATCATCCCTTGACCTTCTTGCCTCACCATCCTCACTTGATCATCTGCCCTCACCACCACATAAATCATCATACCCATCATGTAAACGCTACTTTTACTCTTCATCCACAACAAAATTCAGAGCCTTTGCAGAACCATTTCATCTTGGAGGCGGAGTCTCCCCTTTTTAAACATACTTCTCATTATGATGCTCAGTAAGTTTGCCTCAACTCTTTTCTTTTGTTGTTTGCTACTTCTGCTTGTTTTGCTTTTTTGGGTTTCTGGTCGAAATCTCGGCCACCACGTTAAAATTTCAACTTCATCATTATTTGTCTACCCTTAATGACAATATCTTAAATAATATTTAAAATTTGAATTGGCAAAATGTTAAGATTTCCATAATATTGTGTAAATTTTTTTTATAATATGTAAATATTATGTAATCTTTTAATTATAGTTATGTCAAATATATGATCTCAGAATATTTTAGAGATTATAAAATCTCTTAATTATGTTAGACAAAATATTGTGTAATAGTAATTGATATAATTAGGGGATTTAGGAGATCGTTTACTTCTATATAAAGGGTGTAACTCCTTAGTAATAAATCAATTAATTGAAAACTCAGTTCTTCAAACAAACATGGTATCAGAGTCCAGGTTCAGTTGAGCTAAGTGTTTGATTAGCGGGTGGGGAGTTTGAGTCAAAAACTACCTCCATGAACAGGCATAACCTAATATATAGGCTTGACCGTAAGGGGGAGTGTTGGAATCCCACAGCGACTAGGCACGCTCAAGCTCATATGTTGGGTCATGTCTGTTAATGGAGATAGTTTTTGGCTCAAACTCCTCACTCGCTAGTCAAGCACTTGGTATCACAGTCAAGATAGTAGCTAAAGGGTACACTCAAACCCATGGGATAGACTATACAGAGACATTTGCACCTGTAGCTAAAATCAACACGGTATGTGTTTTATTATCTTTAGCTGCAAGCCTTGATTGACTATTATAACAATTTGATGTGAAGAATGATTTCCTCCATGGAGAATTGTTAAAAGAGATATATATGGATCCTCCACCAGGTTGTATTTCACCAGAAAAGTACAACCAAAAGGTATGTAAGTTAAAAAAGCTCTATGGGTTGAAGCAATCTCCAAGGGCATAGTTTGGGAGGTTTACAAAAGCTATGAAGTCTTTTGGCTACGATTAGAACAATTCAGATCACACATTGTTCCTAAAGAAACAGCAAGGTAAGATCACTACACTTATTGTATATGTGAATGATATGGTGGTCACTGGAAATGATCCAGAAGAAAGAAAGGTTCTGCAAAAGTACTTGTCAAAAGAATTTGAAATGAAAGACCTAGGTTCTTTAAAATATTTTCTTGGAATCGAAGTGTCTCGATCTAACAAAGGTATTTTTCTATCACAAAGAAAGTACGTCTTAGATGTTTTGCAGGAAACTGGTATGTCAGCATGTCAACCAACAGATACACCAATTGAAGAAGGTTTGAAATTATGTATCAAGACTAATCAAGTATCAATTGACAAAGGGAGATATCAGATACTTGTGGAAAGATTGATGTACTTGTCTCACACTAGGCCAAATCTTGTTTATGCATTGAGTATAGTCAATCAGTTCATGCATAATCCTAGAGAGCAGCATATGAACGCAGATATGCGTATCTTGAGATATTTAAAACATGCTCCTGGAAAGGGAATCTTATTTTCTAAAAATAAGGACTACCAAAATGTGCATGCATATACTGATGCTGATTGGGCTGGAGCAGTGGATGACAGACGATCTACTTCTGGTTATTTCACTTTTGTAGGAGGTAATCTAGTCACGTGGAGAAGCAAGAAATAGAATGTTGTGACACGCTCAAGCGTTGAAACAGAATTTAGGGGAATGACACTTGAGATTTGTGAAGCTTTGTGACTAAGATTTCTACTACAAGATTTGAGTTATCAACCTAATCAACCAATTCAGTTTTATTGTGATAATAAAGTAACATGTGACATTGCTCACAATCCAGTTCAACATGATCGTACGAAGCACGTTGAAGTAGATAGATTTTTTATTAAAGAAAAGTTAGACGAAAAGATTATTGAACTGTCCAAGATTCGATCAAAAGATCAATTGGTTGATATTCTTACCAAGGCTGTCTCTAAACGTATTTTCTCACAATTGTTAAACAAATTGGGCATATGTGACATCTATGCACCAACTTGAGGAGGAGTGTTAAGATTTTCATAGTATTGTGTAAATCTTTTGTAATCATGTAAATATTATATAATCCTTTAGTTATGTTAAGTATACGATCTCAGAATATTTTAGAGATTATGTAATCTCTTAATTATGTCAGACAGAATATTGTGTAATCGCAATTGACATAATTAGGGGATTTAGGAGATCGTCTACTCCCTATACAAAGGGTGTAACTCTTTAATGATAAATCAATAAATTGAAAACTCAATTCTTCCAACAAACATATTGACCATTGTTTGAGTAGTTTTTTTTTTTCTTTGTTTTAATCTACAGTTGGTGCTTAACTTCCACAAGTTAAAATGCAGTTATGTCTGCCCGTATTCGAATATTATGTTTTCAACCACTCACAGAGGAGCTTAGTTAAATTTGAGAACAATTTATGTTGGTTTTTCTGAGTCTTACTGGTCTTGTGTGATGAATAGGACGTGGACGTTGCAAGATGAGGACAACAAAGGTTTAGTAGAAGAGGAAGAGGAAGCAGCTGAGGAGCCCATCTTTGTTCTGACTGATGAATGGAGAGAGTTTTTTGCAGCATCTGAAGCTAAGAGGAAATTGGGTTAGTAACACGTTTTTCTGCCCCTTTTTTTTTTTCCTCTCATCGTATTTTGAGATTTTAATTTTGATTGTTTCTACAGCGAAGAAGCAGGCTAAGAAGAAATAGCAGAAGCCGAGAACATTCATGGACGTTCAATTTTTCAAGTATGAGATATGATGTGTCAAATTGTTAATTATGCAAAAAAAGATTTTATTAGTTAATTTCTGCAGTAGATCATAAGCACCTATATATATATGTGCCTATCTTATAATCTTACTTGCTGTATCAGATACACGATAAATAGAGAAAGACGTTTTAAATTCTAAATTATAAATGTATCCTCTTGACACTTTACCCTTGACACATTTGAAATCTGTAATTTGGAATACTGGAACACTGGATTTGCCAAAAACTGGAAGCGGGGTTTCCTCAATATAGTGAGCCAAAGACCCAAGTTTTTTTAGAGTCAACGACAGTTTCACTAAAAAGTTCAAAACTTATGCGTGCGATGATGATAACAATATGTAAAGTAACACAGTTAATTTTCAGTGGGAACGGCAGCGATCTATGCATCTCATATTCCTAGTATTTTTTATCTGGGAAGCTTGCTTTAGTTTAATCATCTGTCCTCGTAACCCATGTAAGCATTTGCTTGTTCTTGCCCTGCATATTGCAGTTCGCTCATTCATTCATTTTTTTAATTATGGAAGAGAAAGAATGCAAGGCTTCGTGCATTTTAAATGGAAACATACAAGTGTCCTAACACAATACCCTGTCTTAGATTCAAAAAGTAAATCTAGAATATATCTCACAATTGGCACAACATAACATGTCAAAAGCCTCACTTTGAGAGTTCATCATAACATAGCTAACCATCGTTTTGAGTGAAACATAGCTCTGACCAAAGGTCTAGAGAAGCAAGATTTGATGATTTTACTAGTAGGCTACATCATGGCATTTACTTGCACAAGAAAGTAAGATTTAATAACATGAGATTCTAGCAAGCAGTAGAGTCACCTAAACATTTAAGGCTTCGAAGCTAGTTTGCTGAAGGCAGCATTTATCCTGTCTTCTGTGATCATTCTTTGGTTTTCATAGAAATCTAATATCTCCATTGAAATATTTTTCACCTGTCAAAATATAGATTATTCTTTATTATAAACAAGCTAGCCCCAGTACATGTTATGAAAATAGATTTAAAATGATAAGTCGGAGGCAGTATAAAACAATGAAAAGAATAAGATTTAGAATACTCACTACATTCATATCAACACGAAGCTCTTCAAACCATGCAGTGTTATCTTTTTCCCTATATACACTGGCAATGTATATACAAGCCAAAGCAATCAGATGAGGAGGGTGCACAAGAATAAGGTCCATCTTGTACGTATCATTAGCGAGTCCCCTGTTTTCAGAATGCCTGGGTTAGGGCAAATTTCTATCTTCAAATTAAAACCCAAACATGGTGACACACTAAATAAAACCATAATGAATACTGGCATAAAGAGAGTTGATCGGAACAAAAACTTAAAATAACATAGTATTTATCAATAAATATGTGTAGCTCTCTGAAAGACTGCAACCCTGAATCCTATTTCGCAAGCACTATCTAGTCACAATTCTTCCACATAATATGTCTTGTTGTTATTTAACTGGAATTTCCCTGTCAGAGAAAGATTGAGCTACCAGCACTGGAAATTTGAGACAGATACACCAATAAATTTTACCAGAAAACTACTAAATTACCCATCTATGCACCTAACTATGAAGAAGATAGATGACAAGGATATTACAAGCAAAAAGAGTAACTCTTCCAATAATCTCTTCTTTTCAGTATGGAGATCCTTAAAATCTACCTATATTTAATTCTACCACCAGAAGCTTGAACTTTTTCAGCCTCTGAAAAGAAAAGAGCATTAACAAAGCATAATTTGGTAGAAAATGAAACTATCAACAGCAAAGAGAGAGAATAAGAACACTGAAACATTTTTAGAAACAACTGGAAAAGATTATCATAGATCTTACCAGGCAAATGGAATCATATTCATGTCATTCATGCCAACATCCTGCAACAACCTATAAGGATAAAAACAGAAGAAAAATTGTCATCAAATAAGATATTTTCATTGAAAAGATAGTTAAAATAGAATCAAAGGACAAAATTAATGAAATTTGGCAGTTAGGGTTTTTTACTTCTAAATTTATGAAAAAGGTGGAAGTAGGTACTTAGTCCCTCCTATGGTCTAGATTCCACAAGATTATGAATTTTCTTTTTCTAAATGAGCTTCAGAGGTCAAAAGAACCTCTAAAGCTAATTGTTGTTAAGAAACAAAGAATACAGCAAAGACAAAGGATCCAACCAAGACATAAAAATAAGGCTATATAGACTATACACACGCAATAGCAAGAGGTCAAAATAAGAAACTTTAACTAGGTACTTAAAAGTTCCACTTCAAATAGTTTATCATTGTGAGTTTATAAATGCTGCAGTTGAATTGCAAAACATTTTACTATAAATATGTCCAAAAGAACATATCCAAAATGGAAAAAGAAATAAGATAAGCACCTATATATTAATCTCTTTAAACACAATATATAATATGGCCAGCTTATCATGTGCGAGAAGCATAGGAGCTTGCATGGGTCAAATAATGTACAAAGTTCAACATAATGAAAACTACTATTGGATGAAAATTATACATCTACACTAATGCTATGTCCATGAAACAATATGCAGGTCGTGTCAATCAAATCTTGCTGATTTCACAAAGATGTTGGCATTTCTAATCAATGTTGTTGTAAAATAGTTGAAGACGCTAATAGAGTCAAACTCCCCATCCCAACCCCCCCTCTCTTTCTCTTGTGGCACACTCCTCTTATTTATAAAACTATGTCCTGAAATTAAAGAAAGAATAAAACAAAACAACAATGCTAAATGTCACAAGGAGAAGAAATGCTTACTGCACAAGTGAACGTACGGATGGAATACAACCAATAATAGTTAAGAGCTTCTAAAATCTTCATTTCCATTTCGAGTATATCTTTGACTCATATCTATACTTTTCATCAGCATCTGTAAAGAAAAAGTGGTAGGTTCTCAACACATATCACAGAAAAAAAAATGCAAATAACTAAACTTGGAGGAAACCAAAGTAATTACATATTTTTTTGATGTAAAATGGTAGAAGTCGGCCTGTCTGTGCTTTCTTCAGCTTTTGATGCCAAGTACAAGCAAGTTGGAGCGACAAGATGGGATCATATTCTGTCATACTCTTTCTAAAATCAGAGAGAGAAGTTACAGTTAGTAAGTTGTCAAAAAACCGTTAGAATCAAGTGCTTTTGAATACAACTCCCAAAGTTTAGGAAATGATAAGTATTTAAGGATAAAATGGCTACGAGAACAAATATATCTAAGTTACAGAGTGAGCCATGAGTCTCTAGTCATTAACAACGCGCACTTTTCTCTCATCAATCAGACAATTATGCAGTATAACCTTTGTAAAAACTGTCTCATATATGTAACTGCAGTGGCCACTACCCTAAGATAAGACCATTTATTAGAGATCAACATCTGGCCCATATCAACTTTCTAAAGTGACAAAACATAATTAATCATATCAATACACTATCTACTCTTCGTTACACCATAAAGCAACATTCTGTGTAAAGTCTTTTGATCGCCTAAACAAACAATTTATTTGCTATAAGTGACAAATTATCATTTGATTTTACATGTTTTATACGAACCTATAAAATCCTTTACTATACAAAATAAATGTTGTGTATTTGATTAACTTTATATGACAAAGCGAATTTACACATAACTGAAGAACCATGTACAAGAGGTATATTGTATTCTTAATGCTGAAAGAAAACTCTAAAATAACAGGCATAATTATCTTTTTTCAGTTGAATTGTAGGTTGAATAATAGAAATTTATATTGCCCTTCTTTTTGCAAAGAATAATTTATTCTTTAAAAAGCAATTATGTTAGATGGGTGTGCATTTCTATGAAACATTGTACTCATAAAGTTGCCCACTGAGTCTAATCAATGCATGAATAATATAGTATTACAATTAATTATGCACATAACCTTTAGATGCCTACAGAAACAATAAACTACAGTCTAGATTTCTACCTTTTTGGACCTTAAAATCCGAAAATTATATAGAAATTGAACTTTTCCTCTGTGATTTTCTTTACCAGATGCAATTTACCATAACCAACTACATGTTCATATGTTTTTTCTAGACAGGGTGCACCTACACAAAGGATGAAATACATGTTCACTGATTCCTCTCTCTCTTTTAAGTCTCAAACAGGGTGCAAGTGATTTGCAGAATTGCATAAAACATCTGGAGAAAGATCAAACCTCTGCCTCACTTTCACTTTTGACCAATTTTTGATATCTGGAAAAAGAAGACACAAATTCAAAAAAAATTGTTAACTGGTGAAGAAATGCAAAAGCAAAAAATAGAACTACAAGAACCCTTTCCTAAATACAGTGACAAAATTAAAAAAAAAAAAAACAACTTTTGTTATCCTGAATCTTGTTTATAATCAATAAAATTACAGTGTTTCAGTAACCAGTTTAATTCTATCGATTACTTAAAATTCTGATACTATGACCACTTCATCCTCAACTTCCAATTTTTCTTTTCCGCATTAGCTTCTCGAATTATTGTACATTGAAGATGAAATTTTTGATGTCAATTCTTCAAAGAATTTGAGAGACTGAATGAAATTCTTTCTTTTTCTTTTTTTCTCCTTTTTCTTAATAAGAAACACAGCAGATTAAGAAAAAAAAAAGACCTCAATCCAGACAAGATACTTCCTAACTGCATAAAAAAATTCTCAGACGCATGAAATTTATACCAAAAATAATACTAATAATAATATATAATTAAGAAGATGCTAAAATTAAGATTCCATCTAAACATCAAAACAGAAACGGTCATAATACGACGAGGATGGAAAGAGAAGGAGAGAGAGAGCACATACAACTGGCCATTTGCATCTTAATTAGCTTGAATTCTTCAAGAGTGACCTTCTCTCTGTCAAGAGGTTGCACCACATCCACACTTCCTGGTCCAGGAGCTTTGCTGCACACACCAAAATCATAAGCAAAACAATCAA